GCCATGAAGGACTAAGGTCATCCACATATTCCAGAGCTTTTTACTTTAACCTCACAAACCATTGTCTGATGGCGCTAGGCATATCAAGCTCATCGCATCGTTTATCCGCTCAGTTGCTACAATTGTAATCCTGCGGTGAGAGCAACCGTGACTTTGGTTATGATCGTGGTACGAGACGCCACTACGCAGAAAGATCAAAGAAGATAGTCTTTGTGTTATGATCACCTTTTACTCACGTTTTTTTTAGTATTCCAGCTAAAAACATTGGGGGGGGGGGCAAGTCAACATTGGGGGAACCAACTCAACATTTGGGAGGGGCAGGGCCCTCACAAAAGAATAAAAATCGACACCCGTAATTGATTGAGAACCAACTGACGGTCGTTATATCTGGAAATAGTTCTCGCAAACGCCAGATATGTACGATTCGACAATTATATTTTTCTTGGCCTTGATCACCGCATGACCAATAACATGGAAATATTTGAATGACGCTATTGTACCGTCATGCTGCCTGTTTGACCTTGAAATAAGCTGTACGAGATTGTCTGTTTATCTTCGCCGGCGTATAGTTCAGAAACTAGAGGGGTTTAGGTATTAAGGACATGGCTGTGAACAGCACGGAATGATCTTTAAGATGGCTTTTTCAGTAAAAAAGCATACAAATGTGGAATGCTTCCTTTCAGCAAAGATCAAATGCATGATATAGGCAGGATAAAGCGCATAGAAGAGACGAACAGAATAAGGCGACTGAAATTATTGCTCTTTAACATGAGCAGATGCTTGCGAGAGGAAAAAGACCCCGATGCTTTTTGTTTCCGCATGCTCCGCATCGCTTTCAAGTGGCAGCAAGATTTCTGCTGCTCGCACGCCGCAGTCAAGCGACCGACGTCACTGGCAGTCCGTGCCCGTCCGCATCGTCTGGGGCACGTGGTCCGTCCGGTCCACGTCACATCCGCTGCCCACTGCAGCGGCGCTGAGTCATCCCCAGCCTACCTCACCGTCCACCAGGTGGCAGCACCGGACGACCACCAGCCAGCGGCTCACAATGGTGGCGCGCTCAGGCTGGCTTATGTGGAGGAGTGCGTTGAGTGAAACCGATAAACGAATGGTTAAGTGCCCATATCTGAAGGGAGAGGGGGTTTGATGGACCGCAACGGAAATGTAACAGGGGAGAGGGAGGGGGGGGGGGGCAGCGTAACGTTGCACCCAGGTGGGGTAGAGAATCATGCGTGGGTCTTTTTCAACACTCTAAAACTTCACAGCCCGATACCGACGACTTCCTCCCATGACAGCCAGTGCGCCGGTCCTTGTTACGCACCTCTAGCTCACTTGGGGGCACATGAGTCGTTGCCTTTGCGGGATGTGGGATGTGAGCACTCGTGTTGAGAGTGCTCACGAGGCACCCGCGGGCGCGCAAGTTCGGCCAAAAGCCATGTGCTGGCAGGTCCTTACGGAAGGCACGTTTAGTTTGACTCCCTCCGTTTGGCCGGAGGGGGCGCTTTACAAGTTTTCCCAAGCGCCCGCAGGATCATTAGAGCACGCAATCTTCAACCACGGAGAGGCGGTGCCACACTGGAGGGCTTACGAATTACGCGGGCCACCTCCCGCGGACGTGTGATCCGAGTATCGTTTCAGAGCCCCGGGCATGCAAGAGCCTCGAGCGACGGAAAAGCAAGTTTTACTACCAACAATAAACACAGTTGGTGCTCGCGGCAGTGAACATGGGAAGAGGCCCGATGATGATTAGACAGGTACTGTAGACAGAATGAAGGTGACGATCACGCAGGTACCGTAGGTTGAGCAACCCGATACCAGACAGGTGCCACAGAAAGAGGCGCCATGACGATCAGACAGGTACTGTGGAAACAGGCCCGACGGCAATCATACGGCATTCGCCGGGTGATTTTAAGGGGTCTCACTAATGCCGAAAAAAGGCAGTAGAAACTATTTCAAAAATGATTTTGATCTCATCGTGACCATCTCATGTTTACCCAAACCGTTTTTTTCAGAATCGACTAGTGAAACAAATTACATCAGAATATTTGAGCCTGCGCGCTCCCAGTCTCTGGAGGCAAGGACAGCGATGGCCGGGGTTACAGTTTCCGTAAAACCAGACGGCGTTGACCGCCGCAAGCAACACTAGGCGGCGAGCGCGCGGGAATGACCTGTCGCGAGATAATGCTTACGAAAGTCTTACAAAATTAATTCGTTCCCCGCAAAAGTTAGACTGGGCGTATCTTTTTCGCAACTTTGGGGCTGTGCTCTGCACAGGTTAACACTCCTAGGAGCACAAAAATTAGATTCTACACGCGGTCTTCCAGTTTTACGACCAGATCTCAGCACCAGTTTGCAATGCCGTTAAGGTCAATCCGCTGTTATCATCAATTTAAGAATCGCACGGGTGAAATGAATACCTGAACTGCCTTTTTAATGTGCCATTTGATGTCCTTAGCGTTCAAAGGTACTTTTCAAACGCGTCATCATTTTCGTCTACCCGTCGACCACGACTTGGTGCTAGCCGTGTGGGCCGACGCTGCACGGCCTATGGAGACTACAACACCTGGCGTCGTGTTCTTTTGTTGCTTAGATTTGCGAGGGCGCCTTTCATTTCTTATCGATTCTGAGTGAATGCTCAGCATTTCCCGAGAAGCATGGCTTGGCCATGTTAAAACCAATTTGCAAGCTCATTTCGACCCACAATCTACATTCGCAGCGTCGTTAATATCTCTGTAAAACCCAGCTCAGAATTCTGGCAAAGCTTCTGAGCTCCATCGGCGTATAAAAGCTCGCAATGCACGATCTATTTAGTTTACTGACGATGAAATTAAGACAGAATTGTTCTCGTGGTAGCTTCTGGCTTCTGTTCCGGTTATACAAGCTGAAAGTGAAAACAAAATAGCAAAGACAATATATCCTCATTAACAAATGAGCAAAATCTGGCGAATTTTTGTCCTTTGGGGGGGGGGGATTCCGTTATCAGGAGGCCGTTTGGCAATTATGCGCTTACCCTTGCCAAAGCTGTAGCTCCGCCCCTGTTGGGCACAATAATGGTGACTGGTTAATAAGCCAATGCTTCGGTTAAAACCTGTTCTTAATGAAAAATCCCAAATTAAAAAAAAACTGAGGCATGCTCCGAGCTAATTATGATAAATACGTCTACAGAAGCGAGATAGCTGGACTCCACTGGTGGCCGCCCTGTGCGAGAAGCAGCGCACATTGGACACAAGAGTGGTCCGCCGGTTTGTGGGCCTTCGCACATTTATCCGCCTGGGTTACCTCAACAGGAGACGACAGCCAGTGGCCAAAGAGAAGCGAGAAGCAAGAAGAAAAGGGGTCCTCCTCTAAAAAAGTACGCTCAGTTTCATACGCCGTCATTGTGGCCCTGACCGGTGTGATTTTTTCGTACCCGTGTTGGTTCGCGTATTTGCTTTATATTTGTAGATGCGTGCTTTTCTCTCGCCCGAGTGATCTCAGTTGAAACGTGTGGCGCGTACATATTCGTTGCCTCATTTACCACGACAGCTCATGTTTTCAAAGCCGGTGTTCTGACGCTTGACTTACTGCCGTTTGTCGTCAGCGTTTAGACATATGGCAGCAGGCCGGACATAGAACCTTGACCATGATGATGAGCCTCTCGTACGCAATCTTTCCCCCCGACCAATCTTCCCTTCCGTGTCCCTCCGTCGTCACTGCAGTGGCGGCGAGGGGGGGGGGGAGGGGAGGTGTAGAGGTCCGATCCAAAGGAAAGTAGCGCACTACTTTTCTCGCTCACCGCTTCATCTTATATCCTGGCAACGTTATCCAGCTTGCCCTGTCTCCCTGGACTGGACCGTCTGCCTGTGGCTTTCAGCCGCAGGCAGATTAAGGACCGCTTTGGCGGGAGCCCCGCCTGGACTTCCGCACGTACCCAGGAGGGGTCCCTGTGTGCTTGAGGTCAGACTCAGTAGTGCAGACCTCCCGCCGGCCGCAGCAGTGCCCGCCACGCCCCGTAATTCCATGACCTTGAAATAGCCATTGTTGGTTGTACGGGGTCTGATCCAAACCAAAACAAAGCAACGTGGTGCAGCCGGAGTGCCATGATCCGGCCTCATGGCCGACCCGGTTGGGGGCCCCACCTGAGCACCCGCGCAGGCCCGGCGCGGGTTCCCTGCGGCATCATGATTTCTGAGTTCATACCGACTCCGCTCAGAGTTAGGCGGGAGCCTGATTGCGACAGACCGCTCTTAGTGGAACAGGAACATCAAACAGCGCAGACCCCTCTTAGTAGAACAGGAGCATCAAACAGCGCAGACCCCTCTTAGTAGGACAGGAGCATCAAACAGCGCAGACCCCTCTTAGTAGAACAGGAGCATCAAACACCGCAGACCCCTCTTAGTAGCACACGAGCATCAAACAGCGCAGAATCTGGGGAGGTGAAGACTGGCTCCGCCTTAAGAATTACGCCCCTTTTTAAAATTTAACCTCTGGATCGGTGGGCGGGAGAGGGGGGGGGGAGCAGCCAGACATCGTGGAGCCATAGCACTCAGAAGGGGACGCATGTTCCGCTGATAACATTTAATTTTACTCTCATTTTCCTTGCATCCGTGGACAGGCATGAGCGTACGCACGTAGTAGCTTCGGAGGCACCTGGCCTTTCCTTACCAAATCTATGGCACGTAGCGATATGCACATGAGCATGTGTTGACAGCCAACATCTCAGGTAGACACGTGAATAAAAAATGAAAACATGTCATTTTACGACACTCCAGAAGTTGCGCGTAGCTGTGGAGCGCTAGGCCCAGTTTTCAGTAAAAATTTGAGTTGTGCCTCCCCATTGGAAAATCCTGCGTCCACCCCTGACGCCTTGTGAGCAGTTCCCAAATTTTGGCTGCAGCTGCAGGCATGGATGGCAACGTCCACGCTGGTGTGCAATCTGCTTCATCCATCACAATGAAACCTACCTAATTAATCCCTCAGGGGATCGTAATCAATCCTTGAATATGTGCATTTCATCACGGACATATCCCACAAGCATATATTTTCGACATATCATTCACGGAAATGATTCGACCACTGTCAACACATTTCCACAACAGCTAACTAGCGCGGAGGACAAGAGCATAACAACATAGCTGGATCCCGCTGCGCCTTACAGGGAGCGCCAGTGGATCGCTTATCGATTCAATTACAGCTGCATCTGCATAGCGTGACACTTATGACTGACGGTCTTCTCATGACCGTCCATTGACAACTGAGCCCGATGCGTCTCGGCACGGTTCATCTCCACTAGCAACGTGACCATTCTCAGCTTGTGAGGTCCGAGGATCCCCCGATACACTAGCGCCACGGTCCATCGAATTATACTTCTCAACTACCCGCGAGATGGCAGCACTCGCCCCGGCCGGCCGTGGCGCTGCCCCGCACGACCCGCTCAGTTCGCACACGCCCCGCGCGAACTCCACCTTGCCGTCGACGACATCAATCGAGTCGTCGCGTCGGAAGTCGAGCGACTCTGAGTTGACGCAGAAGCGCTTGCCGGTGGGCTTGGGGCCGTCCTTGAAGAGATGGCCCAGGTGGGCGCCGCAGCGGGCGCAGCCCACCTCCATCCGCTCCATGTCCGGGTTGGCCACCAGCAGCAGGAGATTGCCGCCGACTGGAGCCAGCCAGAGCACGTGAGATGGGCGGCGGTGCCGTGTCACATGGCGATCAGGCCTCAGAGGCGATCAGAACGATACAGCACTGAGGTCGGGAGCGGACATGGCCGAGCACGCCGCACGGGGCCTGTGATCACCGCTACCCACATCGGTAATGAAGACGGATGGCGAAAATCGTTATCATTAAGTCGGCAGTGGAACGTCAGGACGCCAGGCAGGTCCCCGGGATGAAGAACTGCGGACCTAACACCAACGCGAAAAGCGATCAGACCAGGTACCGACAAGATGGTACATATCGCGACAAACAACGAGCAAGATAGCTAAATCACTCTATCTTCATGAATCTCATGTGCATTTCACCGTCCCATTCACTTCCATTCATTGCTGATTTTAGTGACGCACAATATGGAGCCATCCTGAAAAAAACGTGCGTAATCTACAGACTGTGGCAGCCAAATCAGTAAACATCATGGTGGCGACACCTCCCACTGACCATGAGACAAGTCGGCCTTCAGGGTGATCCGGCGCCGGTCCAGCACGTCATAAAAGCTGGGCCAGCCGGAGCCAGAGTCGTACTTGGTGGTGGAGGAGAAGAGGTCCTGCCTGCAGACTATGCAGCGGTACACGCCCGGCTCGCGGTGCTTGTTGAACCGACCCGAGAACGCCCTGAGGGGTCAGAACGAACTCAGAACACGCAGCGGTACACCCATCGTTCTCGGCGCTGGTTGAGCTAGAACACGCAGCGGTACACCCATCGCTCTCTGCACTGGTCGAGCTAAAACACGCAGCGGCATGCCCATTGTTCTTGGCGTTTCTTGAGCTGAAACATGCAGCGATACAGCCGTCTTTCTCGACGCTGATTGACCTAGAACACGCAGCGGTACACCCATCGTTCTCGACGCTGATTGAGCTAGAACACGCAGCGGTACACCCATCGTTCTCGACGCCGGATGAGCTGATCCCAAGGGGTCAGCTGACGGGTAAGGTCAGGCCCAGAGCATTTCGTAACAAGTAGGTCGTCCGTTAACGGAAGTCGGCATGCTGTGCCGGCAGCCGGTGGTGGCCGACTCTGACAATAGTGACTGATGATGAACCGCCAACGTGCTGTGTCGGCAGCCGGTGGTGGCCGACTGTGACAAAAGTGACTGATGATGAGCCGCCAACGTGCTGTGTCGGCAGCCGGTGGTGGCCGACTCTGACATGAGTGACTGATGATGAGCCGCCAACGTGCTGTGTCGGCAGCCGGTGGTGGCCGACTGTGACAAGAGTGACTGATCATGAGCCGCACACATAGTGACTGTGAGCCGGGCTCTAACACGGCCGAGTGACGATCCAAGGCCACCGCGGAACGGGCTCTAACACAGCCGAGTGACGATCCAAGGCCACCGCGGAACGGGCTCTAACACAGCCGAGTGACGATCCAAGGCCACCGCGGAAGCACAGGTCGAGTGACGATCCAAGGCCACCGCGGAAGCACAGGTTGAGTGACATTAGCGTCAACAATTTGACCAATTTGTCTGCGCGGATGGCTTTTTGGTTCAGGGTTTTTGCTCAACACGGCTTACTGAGAAGACCCTTACGCTACCAACCATGTGGAGTAATTCCATCTGATATGACAATTTTTGACCGGTTATTCTAATGTGCCATTGAACGCCATTGCACTGTCGCCTTGGGTTCATTCTTGCGACTGGCTTCCATTGACCAATCATACAGCCCTCGTTTTTGGGTTGAAAGGACAAATTAAAGAAGGCTACGAATAGGTAGGGTGCGAGGCATCTACCAGATGAGCTGGGAGGGAAGGGAGCATTGAGACCACTCAGGTCCAGTGTGGCTTTGGTGAGAGCGAGGCGGCGGGACGCGAGCATAGTGGGCGAGTGAGCAGACCAGTTCTGAGCCCTTAACACAAGTTATCGCTGCACCGAAAGCATACGCAGACGATCCCAGTCTTCCATTCATCTTGTCCAAATTCTTTCCTGGCCGTTGTAAAGGTGGCAAATACCGGATTTAGAACAGCGATACCATATCGTGCGGGGCAGATTGGCTACAGCGGGGGTGGAAGAGATTGACACACCACTACGATAGTCACCTGCAAATAAAGCTTTCAGCCGCATGCAACGCCAGCATGAGTGTACCAGTAGCTCCGTAGTCTCACTACGTGTTTAAGCACCACATTCCATGCCCACAGTGCCGCCCTCACCAAGGTGAGACGCAGGCGGCGCGATATAGCCTGTCTCAGCTGTTGCGTACGTCGGCCCAGTACCGATGCCAAGCCCCAACAGCCGACCACAGCCAACCTTGTGGAACACACGCTCCACAGACTCTCAGCTCGTCAGCACATTTTCGGCCGACGGCAGTAAAAAGCCTGAGGCAGCCTGGGTACACGACCAAGCTGCCTTCGTTTAGTTGGTAAGGTTCGGTTGCTAAGCTTGTGCGAAGTTTCGTTTTGATATCTCGATAGCTCCTTTGCCACCCTGATCCCCCACCATACCGTCAGCACCTGCCTTGTCACCCTCACCGAACCGTTGGGCATGACCAAGCCCCCTCCAACAGTCATCGATCTGTACCGCCAGTCAAACTCCGACTGTCACGCGCCATGTCCCGCGTGATCACCACCACCGGCTGTGGTGGTGGTGATCACGCGGGTCATGGCGCGCGATCACCACCTCCAGGTGGCGAGTGCGTCTTCTGTGACCACCACCTGATGATTTCTGTCTTCTGTCTCACAGCCCCGCGCCACTGCCCCACGTGATCTAAGGCTGCCCAGTCCCCTGTCTCATAACGTCCATTTGATCTGCGTGATTCCAAGGCGTCCATTCTCCTGTCTCACAGTGCCGTGCCCTGATCCCGCGTGATCTGAAGCCGCGCGTCCCCTGTCTCACCGTTCGGTCCCCTTATCCCGCGTGATCTGAAGCCGTCCAGTCCCCCGTCTCACCGTTCGGTCCCCTTATCCCGCGTGATCTGAAGCCGCCCAGTCCCCCGTCTCACCGTTCGGTCCCCTTATCCTGCGTGATCTGGTGCTGCAGGGGCGTCAGCCTCTTCTTCAGCGTAGCCTGGTCGAAGCAGACCGTGCCCTGGATGGGCGTCTGCTCGGGCCCTGCCCCGGCCGCCCTGCCCGGCGTCCGTTTCATCGCCTGGAGAGCGGACGTCAGCGTTACCGGGCTGCGAGACGCCGACGAGACGCTGACAGTGCGTGCGGCGGCGGCGACCGCGAGAACAGACGGGACGGGGCGCCCACACCGCGCCCACACGGGTCGGCACAGCCCCCGCGTTGTCGAATGACTCCAGGAAAGGACGCAGATCATGAGGCGGAAACAGCTTGGTGTTGCATCCAAAGCACACAAAAAAAACACACACACAATGCGGGTGAGCGTCCGCTTTGAGGGACAACAAACTGTCCCTGCCTAGCTATCGCTGCGGTGCCGTTGTGCCGCTAGTCCAACACCTCACCGTGCCACGCCCTGTTCCGCGTCACCACCACCACAACCACCACCACCAGCTATCCAGCCTCCCGTGTCATAGCCCCACGCCTCTGCCTCATCTTTTCATTACAAGCAACATGCTGTATTTCCTTTGCAAAACATAACAATAGTTTCATTCGTGGATAGAGCCATTACTCATTGGCCCCGTGCCCCAGCCACTGCGGAGTACGGCGCATGTGCAAAACACTGCCAGTCGCGGTATCGTCATACGGCGCAATAACGTCATATTGGTGATTATTTCAGATAAAATTGTCGAGTTCGCCAGGCCGTTGGTGTTCAATCCACGTATACCTGGACGAGGTAATACCCTACGCCCTCGAGTGCTAGTTTGAGCCTCAGTAACCTACACATGTGTGGCCTTCATCACGTCGTGACAGCCCCGGCTTTTCGGACGACCACCACTACAGATCGAAAGCAGCCTCGGTGGCGATTGTCCTGAGCTTTTAATCCCTTTCACCGTAGAATGCAAGGTCGTAAAACATACGATTCGGCCATACGACGCTAAACACGAGGCAGACAGCAGACAGTAGATCCCAATAAGTTCTAAATCAGTCCATAGGCTCACTTCCGTTACGAAAAGGGAAAACAGCGTCTATCAGCGGAAAGGCGGCGGCAGGACGTGGCGTCTGCACATGACGTCGTCGGTGACATCATTACGGTGACAAAGACACACACCGGTACATGACCGGACGGAACTAGCAGACATTCTAAATAGAGAAGCCTACTTTCCACAAATATGCAGCGCGATAAAGGTTGAAATGGACAACACATACGCGTGATTCAAACAATTTTTGCCACGCTCTTCGTCGTGTTTTGCCGCCGACAAATGAAATCAAAGGCCTTACAGACAACGTACCGTAGACAATTCTGCGGTGCAGGGGCATGCTGTGCCACGGATCCTCGTCGTGCCGCTGGGCTTAAGCTCAACAGGTCTCCGTTCACTGCGGCGGTGGCCATCCGAAGGGAGGAGGGTCACGGCGCACACCGGCTGCCACTTCGCAAAGACATATACTCTCACACAAGGCCGTGTAAACACAACTTCGCTGCTGTTTACATGGGCTTGGAGGGCTGGGCTATTTTTCCATACGCATATACATACGTCTGGAATATCATACTGAGATATGCGTCGGCAGAACTACGTAAGCGGTGGGAGTTGTCACCTGGTGCACACACGATACCAAATCAGAGTTAGCGGGACGTGCCTAGCACAATTACGAAGCCCGCGGATTTAACAACTTGCCAAATTTGAGAGGCCGGACATCACTTAAAATAAACAGGTGACACACGGACCATCATCTGTGTAAAAAGATGCAGCGTGTCCGATTCGGACTGCAAAGACAGTTTTTTCAAGTTCTACCTCAGGTAGCACATAATTCCTGCCTAGAACGAGAGCTCTTCCAGTGGTCCCTGTGTTAACTTCCGTGAAAATATGTTCTCTTCAACAAGCTATACCAGCCATAACAGTCAAAAACACGTTCCTCAAGATTTACTTCAGTTTTAGTCAACTGCGGTCTAAACGCATGGTCAGTACACGTCCTTACTCAAATGCATTCACCATCGTCATTACACATCCTTACTCAAATGTCAGTACACAGTCAGTACACATCCTTACTCAAATGTATTCATAGGTCGAATGGGAGCTAAACTTCATTTTATACTTCTATGCCTGTTCATACTCCATTTTGATAAGAAGTGCTGTTTAAAACTTTTTGAATCCAGCGGAAACTTGGCATCTTAAGCCTCGGTGCATAAATAGCGCCAAAGTGTCGTCGCTACGCTGACAGCGAATTTGTTGAATCACTCGAAGTGACAGGTTAATCGGCAGCACACTTCCGAGCGCCGCTAAAGTTGAAGGCAAATAACGCTCATTTCAGCTGTTGTCAACCTTGAAATGCTTGTTTTCAATCTTGCGATTGCTTGAGTGCCTGAAATCGATTAAAAAACGAGATGCTAGCGAGATTATGACTTGTCATTGCGAGACCAAGGTACACTTTCTACTGCCATGAATGTAGAATTAAAACTGTCAGAACGTGTTTCCAGCAGGAAATTTTTGTGATGACCTCCACAGGTGGTCATCTCCAAAGTGAGATCATTGTCCATCGCCTTGGCACGCACAAGGGCACAAAGTGAGATCACTGTCCATCGCCGTGGAGCGCGCAATGACACATATCCACTGGGGTGCGTTTGATCCGAGAGCCTGGACGATTTTTGTTCTCCGTTAAAGCTGGTTTAGTATCCTGCTCGACTGGCGCGGTGCCTTGAGGTGGCTTAATGCAGCGGGGCCAAATCATCGTTTGGCTTAACAGTGGTAGGCGATGGAGTCCTACTGGGCACGGGGCAGTCTGTTTCAGGCCAATAACAAATACTAAATGCTAGAAAGCGGACTAACATAGTGGAACCTTATTGTCGTACAGGGTGGGCCGGATATAGTTGCAACACGGGCGAGTTGTCACAGTGTTGTCACTGCAAAACTGCGAACTTTGAGTGTGCAAAAAGCTTGTTCACACTGTGTTCAATCATTTCCGGAGTGTCTCGTCCCAGGTTCAAGCCGCTTTCATCCCTAATCGAATCATTGTGGCAAAAATTTGTTTTGCAGCGGCCATTGATTTGCCGATGTAAAATAGTTCGTAACTGTGCCATGGCAACTTCAAACCGCTGTAAACTAGTAATAGTTGATACGGATCCTCTCATATATGCTTATCTTTGAATTTAGCTCATCGAATTTCCAGCGGTCATGCCGGACGGGCATTGGTATTTAGTGCAATGGAGTCGGAGCAATTCGATTCGCAAATTGTTGTGAAAAGGATAGGTTCGGCAAGGAGTGTCTATCACGCTCTGAACATGACGTATGTAACGAAATTACCATTTCCTGTATTCTTTCCAAGATAAAGGCATGCACATTCCTACAATTCGTCAAAAACGCATTTCTAAACTAATATCACACGCTAAATCTAGCATACACGTTTTGTTTCTTCTGTTACCCCTCGCCCTGACTCGCCGTTTTTCATAGCGTGGACTGATAGGGGGGGGGGGGGGGGTGAGATATGACCCCTGCCGTTTCCAAACTAAGAAACGCAAGTCTTAGTGGAAGACACCAGCGGATCGGCTCCACACGATCCTGCGATTAGTAATGAGTTTTATGTTAGAAGATTCAAAAACGATCCCAATATACCCTGTCAAAAGAAAAAGTTTCCTGAAAATAACAACTTTTCAGCTTTACAGCCTCACACACACGACACCGAGGTTTGTAGTGACACTAAACCAAAACAGATGTGTTTCTCTTTTGATTCTGATTACAACAACGTATGGTTTTGTGATTGACCATATACTGATGGTGCATGAGTCCGCTAATATGGCAATATAATCCCACCGCACGTTCCATGACATCTTCGGTCGTTGTCCACCGGTCATGCCGGCCGTGGATCGTCGTGCAGTGACCGCCACCTCAAAAACCGCCAATGCTCCGAAACTAGAATGGTAGGGACACGCTGTATGTGCCAAAACACGCGCAATAAACGTCCGATTGGCCAGTGAAAATTGGGGCGCGTTCACACGACATGCCGGAAGGTATCCTCAAAAAGCCTCAGGGGGTTGGATACGACCGCCTCTTATTTGGGCGAGAGTTAGTTATTAGATTTTCAGGGCGCATTAACGGCAATGGTTATTTGAACCAGTGTCTAGATTTTAAAATACCATGCCAAATACTCAGAGTATTGGCAAATAAGCAGCACATTCTTTCTCTCTTGAACATATTTCGTCTACATACCAGAACGGTACCTACGGCGTGAGTAAAACCAAACCGATAATCAGGAAATGTCGGATGCGCCTCCAGAGCTGGTCGGCGATAATAGCAATCTCAAGTCGATGTCCCTTATAAAGGTAATGCTGCTCGAGGCTCGATCCACGGCGGGTCGCCTGGCAGACAGGCTGAGGCTTGTAATCACTTTAAGATACAGCTTCGCTCAATCTCATGGCTCCGACACTCAACGAACATATGCACCACACACAACGGTGCTCCGCATCTTCGGCAGAGAGGTCATTGCTTCTCCTGCTTTCCAACTTCCTTTGTCTTCTATCAAAATGTTATGACTCCGAACTGACACGAAATAATCCGAATGGCAGGAGAAGCAACGACCTACTGCAAGTTCACAACTGCAATCCTAAATCTTTGAAATCAATAACAAAAAGTATCGTGAGCTTAGTAAACGACCCGAAATTGGCGAAAAGGCTCCCCGGTATCAAGGTATGCGACTACCTTAAAGCGATGATTGCAGTTACACTTTATTATTTCGGACAATCCGGACTTACTTGTGAACATTAGCCTCGGGTTTGAAGGACCACACATGAGGCCTACACTACACATAAGATTGTGGTCCGTATCCTCCACCTAGAAAGCCTGTCAGAAGATGAATATTGTTTGCTTCCTACATCTATATTGGTGGCCACACATCACGGATTTCAGCCGATACAGTAAATCCATCCTACAGTCAATCTCAGCAACGCTTTGGAAAGGGACAATTTCGCCTCGACGATTAAATGCAAATTTGACCGATTCCAGAATCGAATCCGACTTTGTTCGGGGTAAACCACAAAGCTTCTTCCTGTTCTGGGCACGATTCATTATTTTCATAAAAGTGCTTATGGGCGTCCAG